TGTCCCGCTGTTCCCTTACCACTGTCCCCACCACCACCGTCCCCACCCTTCGGTTTTCGAGGGGGGGGGGGTTCGAAGGGGTAGTGACGCCCCCCCGGTTTTCGAGGGGGGGAGGGGGGGGGTTCGAACCGGTAGTGACCCCCCCCCGCCCTTTTCATGATGGACTGGGGGGGGGTTCGAACCGGTAAGGACCCCCCCCCGATTTTCCGGACTGGGGGGAGAAAGGGGGTTCGAACCGGTAGTGCCCCCCCCCGGTTTTCCGCCAGCAGCGGTAGAACACGCAGAAAACGAGACAACGATAAAAGAAAGCAGGGCCCGAGAAAACGAGACTACGAACCAGGGGCCGAGAAAACAAAACAAAAAAAAAGAAAACGAACCAAAGGTCGACGTTATTCTCCAATTCGTTCTCTAGTGCTGCGGCGCGCACCTGTCTGCAGGGATGGTGACGGATTTGCCGCAGGCATCTGGATAACGAGAAGGAGGGGGAGTAGGAGGAGGATGAGGACGACTATGAGACTATGAGAACGACGAGGACGAGGAGAGCGAGGAGGAGAACGAGGAGGTGAATGGCGGAGCATGAGGACGAGGGCGAGGGCCACGAGGTGGGGAATGAGGAAACGCAGGAGCAGGACGACGAGGACGATCAGGCGCTCGACTCACGGCGACGAGGAAGGAGGGAGGAGCGAAGGGCGAAAGTGGACCGCGAGGCGAGTGCGGCTCTGATGGGAAGCGCAGCGAAAAAGGAGGCCGGGCGGGCACCGACCCGCGCGGCCCGCGCGGGACGAGCACTTTCCTGCGCCGCACCGGCGGTATACCGCCACCTCGAGCTGGCCGCCCAAATCGGCAGGGAGCGTCGCGGAGGCGGCCCGTCGCGCCCGCGGGCCCCGCTCTACGATCACAGAACAGGAGCACTGCTCTCCTCCTCCTCCTCCTCGTCCTCGTCCTCCTCCTCCCCCTCCTCGTCCTCCTCGTCCTCGTCCTCGTCCTCCTCCTCGTCCTTCCCCTCCCCCTTTCTACAATTGCAAAATACGAGTGCTACTCTCCTCTCTCCCCTGATGGCTTCCGGGAAATATTCAGCCCCCCTCCGCGCACTGGCTTCTTTCCACACAGGATTCCCGGGAGTTGGGCTTTCGCTTGGGATTCAGTTCAAAATTCGGCTCTCGCTGCAGCGCTGGCCTCATTTTCGGGCTACCGCTCGTTCCGAATCGTGCTCCCGCTGCAGCGCTGGCCTCATTGCCGCGCTTCCGCTCGTTCCGAATCGTGCTCCCGCTGCAGCGCTGGCGGCATTATTTCCAGCGCCATGCCACGGCATGCAATGCAATGCTATGTGGTGTTCCGCTGTGCGAAGGCTTGCCTTCAGCTGCAATGCTAGGATATGCAGTGCTTGACTACGCAGTGCCACGCCATGCTATGCCATGGTACTCTTTGACCTTCAACGCCATGCTATGCCATGTTCTGTTCTGTGCCGCTGTGCGATGTCGTTATTTGCGATGCAATGCTTTGCGATGCAGTTCTTCACTACGCAACGCCACGCCATGCTATGACATACTACGCTCTGCCGCGCTCTGCTACGCCCTGCGATGCCGTGCTATACGATGCATCGCGCACCCTCCTGGGACCATTGCCTTGCTCGACATCCGACTGTGCGAATAGAGAGGAGATCTACGCCAGGATAAGGGATGGAGGGATGGGAGGGAGGGGTAGGACGTCAGATATGACGCGAGCGCATCTCTCTTGTCCCTCCCCCCTCGCCCTCCACACTTACACAATGAATACTACTCTCCTCTCTCCCCTGGTGGCGTGCAAAGAATGTCTGGCCCCCCTCCGCCTAATTACTGTTTTTTTTACACGCAGGATTCCCGGGAGTTGGGCTTTCGCTTGGATTTGTTCAACATGCTGCTCTCGCTGCAGCGCTGGCCTCGTTTTCGGGTTACAGCTCGTTCCGAATCGTGCTCCCACTGCAGCGCTGGCCTCATTTCCGAGGCTTCCGCTCGTTGAGAATCGTGCTCCCGCTGTAGCGCTGGCGTCATTATTTCCAGCGCCATGCCACGGCAATGCTTTCGGCCCTTCCAAATAAGCCCCAAAATCTGTCTCCCCCGAAAAAACCATCGGAAGAGATTGCACATTCGGCGTCGATTTGTTAATTTGTTGGGGCCGCGGAAACCATGCCATGCTATGTCAGGCCACGCGTCCTCATTTCCGCGCTTCCGCGCTGAATTGTGTTTCGAAATGCTGCTCTCGCTGCAGCGCTGGCCCTATTTTCGAGCTACCGCTCGTTCCGAATCGTGCTCCCGTTGCAGCGCTGGCCTCGTTTCCGCGCTTTCGCTCGTTACAGATCGTGCTCCCGCTGCAGCGCTGGCGTCATTATTTCCAGCGCCATGCCACGGCATTGTTTTCGATCCTTCCAAATAAGCCCCCAAACTTTAAACCATGTCACCCCGAATAAACCATCGGACGTGATTCCACATTCGGTGTCGATTCGTTGATTTTCTATGCCGCAGAAGCCCCCTCCCTCCCTACTTTGGGGCGTCGCCACGCTATGCTATGTCAGGCAAAGCGTCCTCATTTCCGCGCTTCCGCGCTCGTTTTGTGTTTGCCAAAATGCTGATCTCGCTGTAGCGCTGGCCTCATGTTCGGGCTACCGCTCGTTCCCCGAATCGTGCTCCCGCTGCAGCGCTGGCCTCATTGCCGCGCTTCCGCTCGTTCAGAACCGTGCTCCCGCTGCAGCGCTGGCGTCTTTATTTCCAATGCCATTCCCGGGCATGGTTTTTTTGTTCAGTCCTTCCAAACCGGCCCCAAACTCTAAAACACTGCCTCCCGAAGAAACCATCGGAAACAATGACACACTCGGTGTCGATTCGCTCATTTGTTGAGCCGCAGAAGCCTCCCCCCCACCTCGGGGCGTCGCCACGCCATGCTATGTCATGCTACGCGTTGATCTTCGACACTATGCTATGCCATCCTACGACATCCGATTGTGCGAATAGAGAGGAGATCTACGCCATAGTAATGCATGGGAAGGAGGGGTAGGACGCCAGATGTGACGCGAGCGCACCTAGCTTATCCCTCCCCCCTCGCCCCCCCACCTCCTCCTCCTCCTCCTCCTCCACCCTCCTCCTCCTCCTCCTCATCCCTCCTCCTCCGCCTGCTCCCTCCTCCTCCTCTTCCCTCCTCCTTCTCCTCCTTGTCCTCCCAGCCTCTCTCTCGCCCTGCTCCCTCCTCCACCCTCTGCCCATCCTCCCTCGCTGCCCCCCCCCCCCCTCTCCCACCCCCAACCCCCAAAAAAGGCGGAGGCGCGGGGGCGGAGGAGCACGATGAGGAGGAGGCAATGAAGGAAGGGGCAAGCCGAGGAGGGGAATGATACCAAGGGGCGGGGATGTGGCGGAGGAGGTGGGGGGGGGGAACAAGGACAAGAGAACATCGGAGGACGCGGAAAAGGAGCAGGTGGAGGACAGGCTTTTCAGAATTGGATGCTCGCGAGTGCGAGCGAGGACAATGCGAGAAGGACGAGGATGGGGCAAGCGGGCCCCGAACTCTTGAGCATAAGCTTCCCCTTCCTGTTCATATTCAATCTCTTGAAAATTTCCAGGAACGTCCTGACCCAACTCCCCTCCTCCATCTCCGGTTCTTCCTGATGCCCGTTATCCTTGCTCCCCTCCCCTCTAAACCACCATCCTCTGGGAGGAGGGGGCAGGCAGAGGAGGATTGCAGGGCGCGTCTAGAAGTCAAACAGACCAAGGGCTTGAGTATAATGAAGGAGAGGCGACCAAGGGAGTGAGGCGTAAGGAGGGAGGCTGCAGGGGGGGGGGGGCGCTTTTCTAAACTACAGGTTGTCGCGGTGCAAGTGCATGCGCTGCTGGGCCCAAGGTGGGCCCGAAGCAAAAACGCAGTCCCTCGCCCTGCATAGCATCCCTTGGATCAAGGACGGCGGAGAAAGAGGAAGAGGGGGGGGAGGGCCACTGCAAACCCCAGAAGCATCAACGATGCTGCGACTTGCTCTCCCGTCGCAAGTCCTCTCCTGATGAGGTCCCTCGGAAGCCCCACCAGCCCTCCAGGCGGAGGTGGTTTAGAGCGCTCCCGCTTCCAGCTTTCATCTTCCCCCTCGGGGGGGGGGTTATCAGTGCCCCCTGCGTTTTGAAAGAACACCCTCGGGGCCGTGACGTGCGGCCTCTCGGGCCCCCGCCACAGGAAGCGCGCGAGGCCCGCCCCTTGGGCTGCGGGGTCGGGGTGGGCTTCGGCTTCTCTCTCGGGCGCACGACGAACACGGATCACGGGTCCGTGGATCCGTCCCGCCGGCGGCAGACCCAGGGCTTCGGAAACGCACGGCCCGACGCGCGGCGCCGGTGCCACCGGATCTGGCGACGGGGCGTGCCGGCCTGGCATGGAAGCGGGGCCCGTCGCTCATGCACGCGCCCTGGTCCACGTCTGCGCTCGCTCGAGCTTCGGGCCGCGGGGGTCCTGATGCCCCTCACCCCCCATTCGCCTGTCAGTGGGGGTCAGACTTCTGGGCGGGGCTGAACCTAGACGGTGTTTTTCGTTGTCGTGTTGTTTTCGTTTTTCCTCGCTTTTGTATCGAATCCTCCTTTACCGCAAGACGAAGCCGAAACGAAAACGGCCCACGAAATGACCCAAAACACTGCTTAGGTCCAGCCCTGCTTCTGGGAAGCAGAGTCGGCGAAGCGCAAGCTAAGGAAGCAGCAGACTCTGCAGACGATACGGGCACGGGCGCAGACGTTTCCAAGGAGCTGCACGAGAACAAACAAACCAAAAAAAGGGCAGCACCTGCTTTGCGGCAGCATGTTGCCCCGAACAAAAAACTAGCCAAACCATTGAGCACACGTTTCCCTGGCCCCCCCAAAAGGCTGATCCCCATCGGCAGGCGAGAGAAGACACCCCTGGCCTTCCTGCGCGACCGCTGCACCTCCTGCGCCGACGCCGTGCCCTGGACCCCGCGCGACGCAGAGGGGGGGGGGGCAGGGGTACAGTCGGACTTGATTGTTTTGCTCGATGCGCGAACCCCGCTGTGCTAAGCCTGGGACGCACGCCTGGCGCCGCGGACATTCACCTAATTAGGGGAAGAGGGGAAGAGGAAAGGGAGGAGGAGGAGGAGGAGGAGAAAACACAAGACCTGGCGCGCGGCACAACGAGCGGCCTAAGATGCCGGCGCTGCATTTTCGCTGCCGCCGGGGCCATCCGGCAAAACGACGAGGCCCCCAAATTTGGCGTCCATGGCCAGCTCGCCGAAAGGCTGGGGCCGACGGTCGCCCAAGGACTCACCGGTTCGAGGGTCCCGCGACTCCCACAACCGGTTGAGGCGGAAAGCGGTGGCGCTCTGTCTCGCGACACCCCCGCGGCAACCCTCCGCAAGCGCCCTGGTGTTGTCGCGCGAGTAACACCCGCATGATGCACAGAACATGTAATTACCTACCGCCCACAGGCGATGGCGACGGCCACCCGCGACGCAGCGAGGAGGTAGGTGCGACATCTGTGTGCCACTGCGCAGACACCGCATACAACGAAACTTGCCACAGAACTTGATCACATCGTGCCTACCGTCCTGTGCGGGGAAATCCGCAGTGAGGACAGGAGCGGCCCGGCTGCAAAGAGCGCGGCTGCGTTCCTGCTGTGGGAACGGCCACGCGTGCAAGAACCGACCGAGAAAACGGCCCACGCACTGCGCAAGGTTGAATGCCCCGACCACCCTCTGCTCCGCAGCGGCGTCGCTGGGATGGGAGCGGGCGCCCTTTCGTGCAGCAGAGTCGGCTTCCGCATTGCCGATCCGAAGATAGCGGGCGTTAGGGCTGCTGTCGTCGTCGCTGGCCCTGGCATGCCCTTTGACCTTGCAAACCCGCACCTGGAACTCGAAATCGTCAAGGGCATCCCAGATAGCCGTCCACAAGTCGGCTGCGACACACCCGCCATGAGTGGTCTCCCAGCGCCCTTTGGCGAACGAGGAAACCACCCATTGGCAATCAGAGTAAAAAGCTATGTCCGCCACTCCGCGGAACTTCATGCATGCCAGAAGGGCCCATCCCTCCGCCACCTCGGAATCCTGCGCGTGCCCCGGCACGGGCCCATATGCTAGGGCCGTGACCGTGCCCGACGGCGACACTTGAGCGAGGCCCCAACCCGCCCTTCGCAGAAGGGGATCCCCGCTCAGCACGGCAAAAACGGATCCGTCACCGAAGACATCGCCCTCCAGGGTGCCAGCGGCGGGGCGCACGTCCCACGCCGCAGAGAAGGAAGGAGCAGGACTAGGGAGGAACTTCCGGGGGTCGGGCACGAGCCCATGCCGCCATAGGCACCAATCTGGGTGCGCGGCCGCAGAATCCAGAAGGCTCACGGGCAGATCATAATCGCGCCTCCACACGCGCGTGGTGAGACAGCTGCCCCAGGCCGCGTGCTGAAGGGTGCCCGCCTCGCCGCCGCAGAATGGACACAGAGGAGACGCCTGCAGCCCCGCGTCGTGGCGCCGCGCTGCATCCCAGATGCCATTGGCGACGACTGCACGGACGAGCCCTTGGTGGGCAGGGTTCCAGTCGGCCGACACCTTGCCCGTGGCCAGCGCCCGCAGCGGCTCCAAGTAGGGCTCATGCGTGAGGTCGGCCATGTACGGGTGCCGGGCGAGCGCACGCTGAAGCAGCCACCGCTGCATGGAGCGCTGCGCCAGCACTATGACCGTCTTGGGGCACATCTCCATGAGGTTGGCCCTGAAGCCGTCGTCGGTGCGGAAGGTGCACGGCGTGCTAAGCACCGTCCAGCCAATCCGCCTGGCCGACGCCACTGCGGCGCCCACGGTGCCTTTGACCAGCTGCCAATCCTTGCCGTCCGTGCTGGATGCGAACGCCGCGTCGGCTGCGTACGCCAGCTTGGTCAGCCACTCGCGCGGCAGCCACATGTCCCAGACCGCCCTCGCGAAGTTGCCGATCGGCCCCACCGTGCAGGCGTACGCGGGATCGACCGTGTGCGGCGCAGCCTGGATGGCAAGGTCCATGGTGGCTGACCTGCCGTGCACTCGCGGGTACAAGGCCAGGTGGGCCGCCCTGCGCAGAGGTTCGATGCGGGACCACGCCCGGCCAGTCACGCCGTCGCCGTAGGTTCCCACAGGCACGAGTCCCATGGAGACCAGCGCCCTGCACCGCCCACGCCCCTTGCGGATCACGCGAATCCTGCCCGCGCGCCGCCTTGCCTTGGCTAGTCGGGCAGTGCGGACATGGCTGCAGGCCCGCTTCCCGCAGGCGTAGTCGACGCCCAAGTTGCGAGCAGTGTGGCGCACGCGCCCTTGGAGCGAAGGGCACCGACGCAGCAGCAAGTTGGATGCCTCTGCCGAGCTGGCCACCACGGCCGTTTTGGCGTCCTGCACCACCAGGCCGTTCAGGGTGAGCTGCTCCCGGAGCAGGCGGTAAGCAGTCGCCAGCGCGCGCGTGAGGCGCTCTGGCAAACCCACCGCCTGGAGCTGCAGGTCGTCCACCACGTTGGTGACCTCGACGTCGTCGACCCGCTCCAGCACGAAGTCCACGAGGGGCACGAGGTACAGGCGCATGAGGAGGTCGGCGAAGCTGCACCCCGCAACCACGCCTTTGCCCGGCAAGCACTCGCCCAAAATGACACCGTCGTGGCTGAGATAGCGCGGCATGCCGTACAGCTTGATAAGAAGACGAAGCAAGCGCAACGGAAATCGCAGCCGCCGGGCGTGGCGAACCAGGATGCCCCACTGGAGCCACTCGTACGCCTTGCTCAAGTCCAGGAGCACCGAGCAGGCCTGCCACCCACGGGACACCGCCCACTCCGCAGCAGCGCCCTGCAGCCACACGGCCATGTCGCAGGACTTGTGCGCCACGCCGTAGACATATGGCCGCGACTGACTCGACGCCCACTGTGCCCCGAGCGTGCTGCGGCACCAGCGTGTGAAGGGCCGCAGCGTGCCTGGGAATAGGCCGATTGTGCGTTTGCCACCGCTGTCCTTGGGCAGCAAGACCTCCTGCAGCACGCGGAGGGCGCTGGGGATATGAGCCAATCGCAGCATGGCCCCCCAGATGCCGATCAGGGCAGCCACCGCGGCCTCCGGGAGCATGGCCAAGTGTCGTGGGTGGTGGACGGCGTCGCCGCCAAGCCCGGTGCCGTGCTGGAAGGTGCCGGAAGCTTTGATGATGTCGTCCACTGAAGGCAACGGCACCTGGAGGTCGTCCATGTTGTCCCAATCGCAGCCGGCCTCGCCTGGCCCTGCCGACCACAGCGCATGCCAGGGCTCAATCTCTGCCCGCGCCTCCTCGGCCAGGCCCTTGCCCGTCAAGGATGAGGCAGCCCAGGGGGCCTCGTCCTTGATCCACCGGAAAGCCTTACGGCCGCCCTGCACGTCGGTGGCCGTCCTGGCCCAGTCGAGCCAGCTCCTGTACCGGGCGTACGCGGACTCTGAGTCGCCGCGCGCGGCCTCGACCGAGAGTCTGTCGATGAGGTCCGCGACGTCGTCGCTGGCCATGGTGGGGAGCAGCCGTACACGAGACCGCCAGGTCGACCAGAACCCGGGCTTGGCCGCCATCGGCAGCGTGAACCGCTGCATGGCGACGTGCAGGGCTCGCGAGTGCCGCAGCGCAGCAGGCGTGCCCAGGCGGCGAAGGTGCCGCCACTCAAGCACGCGGTCGCGCAGCCAGCCCCAGTAGCTGTCGCAGGCAGTGGTCCGCGCAACATTGTGCCATGTCCGTCTTGC